TCTCTTCCAAAGAACGAAAACACAACCTTTAGGTTCAAGGCGAGTTGAATGACCGTTCAGTCACTGGTTTTCAACGATTCCTTTGACCAGTATCGGCTTGTAATGAAATCTCTATTGAAATTAATCCAAATACTTGCAAAATCTTTAATCTCAAACTAGCTTGTTTATTGATTGTTGTGAGCATTCCATTTGTCATCTTAGAGAAATACTGACTTACAGTGGCTCTGAGAAATTTTCTCCTTCTATATATTGTGTACAGCTGTTTGAATGATCCCCATAATAATTGAAACATATTGTTATACGAGGAATATTCTTTTTGATAGCATTTCTCCAGGTAAAATTATGCATATATATATATATATATATATATATATATATGAACAAGGCTGAGTCACACTTATATTTTATGAAGTTTGGTGATACTGCCTTGTAGCCCACTTGTAAGTAGATGTAGGGGGATTCGAAGGCAGAACCCGTTGGCTAAAAGTCCGGTGCTTAAGGCAACTAGCCACATCTTCATCATCGGATCAAACGGTTTGCCTCAGAATTGGTAATGTTAAAGTTCAGTCGTCCTTAGAATTCAACGAAAAGTAAATTCCTACTGAGAATACCAATCAATCATTTCAGCTGATGCAGGTTAATAATGGCTTTTGGATATAATTCTGACCTGTATATGATTTTGCCGAATGATTAAGACTTTAAGTCTAAGTTCTACTGGTTCATTTTATTTGTTTGCATACATAGTTGCTTTCTTCACTTCAGTTGTAATTAGTCTTATATATATTTGTCAGTCTGTTCCTTCTAATTAAAGTATTGTAATTTAATCATTAGCTCACGCACGACATATCAAATTTCCAAATCTGTTCTAGCAGAAATCAGTTTTGATTAAATTTCAAGACATTTTAAATGGAATTACTCAATGTTAAGATAATAATCACATTTTTTTAAAGCAAAGCAAGATTAAGTAACTAGATTGATTGATGTAATATATATATATATATATATATATATATATATATATATATATATATATATATATATATATAATATTCCGCTGACTGTAGTTCAGTAATGAAAAATTACAATAGTACCTTAGAAAAAATTGCTTAAACTCAGTCAGCCACTTGCCCACACTGAGGTAGATGAAGCGGATGTCGAGCTCATGACCTATCGGCTGAAAGCCAATGAGACAGTGGAAGAATTAAAGAAGGAATTTTCAACGGTTAAAAATAAACATATTTCACTAGTTAGGCCTATTACAAATCCACTTACTAATCACATCGTCTATTGTCTTCATGATTCAAGTGTCGAAATATAAATTGTCATAGTTTTTTGAAATTTCCCGGAAGTTTTATTCGTCATTGACTTTTGGTATAAATCTCGTAGGGAAGTATAGTTTGACTGATTGGTGGTATCCTTCAAGATGCTAAGGAATCAGTGACTGTAAACTTTTCATGATATGACCTTAGGTTGACCACAATGACAAAGGAAGAATCAATCTTTAATTTATTTTCGATTTTTAAATATTTCGGTTAATCTTCATTTAATTCTCCTCTTCCTTTTTCTTCCCACACTTATGTTTCTCTATCTATCTTCTCTCTTCTTTGTCTATTCAACCAATGATTCATTCTACGGGGTTCTAACCTAGTTTGTCTGTTTGTCCACATTTCTATTTATCGGCTATGCGAAGTACTCACAATAAATATTTAAAGCTTTTTTAGTGTTAGTTTAATATTGGTTTAAATTGTGTGATAAAGAGAAACATCACTTGAAGAAAGACTGAAAATAATCATGGAACCGAGATTTTTTTCCATTCAAAGTTTATCATCTACATTCTTATACTCTAATACCTTTTTACTACTGTCTCAGCTGTTTAATATTGTCTGTTGTAATCGTTGCCTATTTAAAGTCATTTTAAGTAAAGTAGCTGTATTCGCGTTCCAGGCGTCTTTTCAGGCTGGTAGTTGGCGTGCCATTTGCCTCATAGACCGGCTAGCTGACACCTTGTTTTTTGCTGCCGGTGGTTCGGATGAACTAGAACAGCTTCCGACTGTTGCCAGACGCAGCAGATGACTCCATTTCATACGCACGTTCTGACCCTCAGGCTTCGCGGTTGTTACGTAAACACTGTCTAATCTTGCCCGTAAGCCCCTTTCTCATATTGTTGTATTTTCTGCCAGCCAGAATGGACTGGCGTTCATCTAGGAGTTTCAAGGAACTCTCTGAAAACCAGTGGTTTCTAGGGTAGCATTGTTTTAAGCTGCAAGCGGCTAGAGTCACCATTTGCATGACGCCTTGCAGGTAAAGCCAGTGTTCATCTATGCTACTTGGAGGGTTGCTAGCAAGCATTGATTGTAACTCATTCTGGTATTTCAAAGAAGTAACAGGTGCTACCAGTTTGCTCTTATCAGCATTTAGGTGATGCTGTTTATGAACCCCATCAAATCCCAAGATCAGAGCCCAAACATGTGCTCCAGAAGGAGCGGTAGCCTTGTATGCATCCTCGCCACCGGAAAGTGACAACAGTATGATTAGTCCGAGTCCAAGCTTGATTCTCAGAGGGAGGACGCCAGGTAGCGATACGGTGGTGGCTGTGCCAAAAGTTGGTGCTGGCTAAAAATAGGTTGTGATCTGCGCAGAAGACAGTCCCCATTATTTGACCTGCGACTATGTAAACCTCACTGACTACTTGAACGATTCCCCTATGGGCTTGGACGCTTGACCTGTGCATTCAAGTCCCCAGAAAGCACTACAATATCCCTCCGACCCGTCTGTTTGATGAGATCGTTCATTTGGTAGTAGAAGTCATCCTTAATTGCATTCAGACTGCACTTCGTCAGTGCATTATAAGCAGACGCAATAAACAGACACCGCCTATGTGGCCTACCACTTCTTACTTTCGTATAAACTTTCAGCCTGACAGCACATAGACGACTGTTAATGGTGGTCCAGTCGAGTAATGCAGCTTCGGCCCTAGCGCTTAGAGCGACAACGACACCAGCTACACCGGACGCCGACGCCACAGGGTCCCCGGACAAGTGCAGGTGGTACATACTACTGGAGCTTTCAGATGGAGAGGATAATCGAAGCACTTCATTGGGGTCTTGAATGCGGGTCTCCGAAATGCAACAGACATCGATAGCGTGGCTTTCCAATGTTCTTACCAACCCTGCCTGTTGTCCTATTTGCATCAGCGTCCGAACATTGTAGGTGGCCAGCTTCAACGCGACACGGGGTTCAAGGATATCTGTGTTAGTTGTCGCATTTGGGACAAACATTTTGAAGGCTACTCACTAACATCTCGGAATGGCATAGATAGACTGGGAATTCGGACCACGTCCAAAAGCTGACGAAATTGAAGACGTCTAGGTTAGCAAAAGTAAAACACAGGAGTCTAGGTATAAGAATAAAAGTAAGGTTGGAAAGAGATGAGTCACTCGAGAGCATTGTTAAGAGCGCGCTATAAGTTTCGCCGACATTTTGTTACTTCATTTCATTGACTGCCTGGGCACCCAGACTGAAGCAGGTGGTTATCTTTAGGGACCACCCCCGGAACGTTTGACTTGAAGTCTAATCTGCAAGGCAAAGGAGCAGCGTCAGGAGCTACGTTCCCACGGTTGCTGGTGACTAATACAGGTTCATAAGTGATTTTATCCGATCGGATTCTGGAGCCCATGCATCCCATGGTAACTGCTTTTGGTCTAACGGGTATCCGAAAAACCTTCCTGACATGATACATAAGCACGTTACATAAGCATGAATCCCAGACAGCTTAGCTAGTTGGGTCACTGCGGTATTCAGGCCCGACCACCACGACAAGGTGGCAGTTGTCGGCCGGGAGCATAAAAACCTTGTAAAATCTAAATTATTTTACCCGAATAAGATAAGAAATTCGGACATGCAATGACACACAACCATACAATAAGATGGGATAAGATGATAGTTTTAAAATCTAATGTAGCAGAGTTCGGTGGGAGAGATTTTTTTATTACAGCTTGAATCCGCACTGTATTTTTGGTACAAGTATGGGATTTTCAGCATGGATATCGGTAGCCCAAATTTTGCAGGCCGAACATAGATATCAGGTGTGCGTCGGCAGGGGATTGAACCTAGGACCGTTTGCATGGTCGGCGGGAGTCCTAACCACTGTGCCACCGACGCACATTATCCTATCCTATAAACAAATACAATAACCCCATGGAATGAATGGATGAATAAAATAAAATAATCCTATCAGCATATTTTAGTGTGTGTGTGTGTATAGGTAAGAGTAAGAAGAGAAAATCATAAAATTCTACTGTACTGACAACAGAATCCTTGTTTATCGAATCAACTGCAAACACGTAAAATAGAAGTGATTCAACACCTCTCCCAAACATCTGGAGAATTCTGCTACCCCTACGACAAATAGGAAAGGATAAAGAGAACTATAAAACCCAAGTTTCGAAGTTTTGTGATTATAACTGATGTGAATATGAACGATAAATTATGTTCGAAACGTCATCCAGTAAATAATAAAACCGCTTCACTGTATGATATATTATCTAATCTTTCTTCTTTTTTTCCTTCACGTTCCGCAGTGGAACATAGGGCCTCAAGCTAGTGGCTTGAAGTTTCTGTAGCAGTGTTTAATTTTACAAGATGGGGTTGCTAGCCTCATGCTCAACCTTTCCTCTTTACCAGCATTATTTCTGGATTGGCGAGGTAAAGTAGTGCGTCGGCCGGGGATCGAACTCCGGACCATGTGCATGGTCGGCGAGCGTCCTAACCGCTATACCACCGACGCACTTATATTATCTAATAAACAAATTAATATGGAATTACATACTGCGACAGTGCCCAAGTCTTACACATATATTAATATCCGTATATCTAATTTATTTAGTTACAGTTTGTTATTATTATAAAGCACTTCATATTATAAATTAAACAATAACCAATCTTTTTATTTTTTTGCGTTTTGTATTTGTGTATCTTTGTATGCCGCAAAATGTGACTAGGTTTTTCAGTAATGAGAAATTCCAGGAATTTTCGTACTGAAGATTATATCCCTCTAACAATTCAATCGAAGTTGAAAAAAGATTCACTACAATTATTATTGTTATTATCAACTTCTGATAATAAATCAAGTAAAGAGAAATTAAATTCAGGAAGACTGATGAATGAAAGCAATACTAATTTAAATTATCGTCAGTTTATGATATCATTGTTACCATGGATTAATTCTAATTGGCCAGAATTAACACCAGAATATGGGGAAAAGAAGTGGATTAGGATTCAGTCTTCAAATAATATTGTAAATAATTATAATAATAATAACAATAATAGCAGTGAAATAATTCATTCAAATTTTGATACATTCAATTCTGAGCATCCAGGATATCAAAATTTACCATTATGTTTTATATGGCCACAACCATCACGGGTTCAGTTGCCGATGAAATTCACGTATCATTTCACTTATCAGGTGAGTTGCATCATTTGTTAGTTTTAAGTAATAAATTGTTACGCTAGTAAATTGTCACTAATTGTTACACACTCGTTTGTTACTCAAGAGTAACTAGTGACTTGATGAAGATGTCGTTCACTGGCTTCTAGTCAGTGAGTCCCAGGTTCGAATCCCCCACTCCTCCTACTTCAACCTGGGCGACTTAGTAGTGGTGTCGTCAGCCATGTATATGGCACATAGTCTGGTGCCGGATAAAAAGGGAGTTCTAACCACCCGATCTCATGTGTGTCTATTCCTTAATATTGGTGCTGAATGAATTCTGTCAGTCAGCCTTGGAATATGATCGTCATTGCTATGTGACCGGATATCACAGTACATTTTCAATTTGCTGGAAGCTATGTTGATTGAGCTCAATCACCGAATATCGATTACTTGTTACAAATCAGCATATTTCAGCGACTACCTATGAGTGACAGTACACTTCAGTATGGAAAAAGTCTCTAATTAGGCATTACGTAGACAAAAGGATGGAGCTAAGATTTATTTGCTTTTCAATTAGATCCTCTTGTTCAATCCTTTTGTCCTCTTAACAATAAATTCACATGGAGTTTCAAGTGATACTTTTGCATGATCGCGTATATCGAAATGTGATGAAAGAAGTTTGATAATAATAATGATGATATGTATCCACATAATATGTGTGCTTGTTTTTGACAGTCTGTTATATTTTGCTATGTATATATGGATCGATATTCCACCAATTACTGGATACATACTGTGTAGCACGTCGTAAGGTGGCATCGGTGCTTGTAGTTCGCTGGATTTCTGCAAACGTTACTGGTAGAGATCGAACAGCATTGTCGATGAGGTTAACTGCATAGTCTTTGGTGGCGATCGATGCAATTACCATATCTTCACTTGATGCAGGATAGTCGCTAATTAGCCGAGATAGAGCGTCGGCTTGACCAAATTCGTTAGTTCGGTTGTATTTAATATCGAAATCGTATCCAAGTAATATTATTGCCCAGCGTTGTAGTCGGTTAGCTGCATGTACAGGGATACCTGATTTAGATCCGAAAATGGAAAGTAACGGTTTATGATCTGTCAGCAAGGTAAATCGGCGGCCGTAGATCATTTTATGGAAACGTCGTACGAAAACTAAAGCTAAGGCTTCTTTTTCAATTTGTGCATATTTCTTTTCTGCCGCAGTTAGTGTTCGAGATGCATGCATTATTGCTTTTTGTGAACCATCTGGGAAGACATGTAAAATGACAGCTCCCACTCCGCTTGCTGAAGCGTCCGCTGCAACTATAATTGGAAGTGTTGGACTATAATGTGTCAGAAGCAATTCAGAAGTTAACATAGACTTCAACTTTTCAAAAGCTGATCTGCAAGCTTCGGACCATTTCCAGGTTGCATTCTTTTCGAGTAGTCGATTGAGGGTGTCGAACATTATGCAGCGCAGGGAGAAATGCCGAGTAATAGCTAATTAATCCCAAGAAAGAGCGTAAGGAAGGCACGTCAGTAGGTGCGGGCATCTCTTTTATAGCACGTATGTTGTCAGGATCTGGACGTCTACCCGATGCATCAAATATAAATCCAAGGTATTTGACAGATCTCAAGGAGAACTGACACTTCTCTGAGCGTAGTCGTAGACCGTTGTCCTGCATGCGTGACAAGACAGCTTCTGTCCTGCTGTAAAGTTCGTTTATAGAATTCGCTACCACCAAGATATCATCAAGATAGACGGCAACACCCGGAATACCTGCCAAGATAGTATCCATCAGTTGTTGGAAAATAGCTGGGGCAGTTTTAACTCCGAAAGGTAATCTGTTGTATTGGAACAAACCGCGATGTGTATTAATGGTAAGGAGTTCTCGGCATTCTGGGGCTACTTCAACTTGTAGATATGCGTCAGCAAGATCCAGTTTTGCAAAATAAGATCCACCATTTAAAACAGTGAATAAATCATCCGGCGTAGGTAAAGGATAGTGGTGCTGTTCTAATGCAGCATTCAACCCAGTAGAGAAATCAGCACAAATACGTAGGGACCCATTCGCTTTCTTGACAACGACGATGGGTGCTGCCCATGCCGAGTACGTGACTGGTGTTAATACGCCTTGTTGTTGCAGTCTCTCCAATTCTTCGTCAACTTTTGGTACAGATGCATATGGAACTGGCCTCTTTGGGCGAAAAACCGGTTTTGCGTCTGGTAATACTCGAAAGGTAGCTTGCAGCGAGGTACAGTGACCTAATCCGGGTTGAAAAACAGGTGCAAATAGTTTGCATAAATCAGAAAAGGAGTTGGCTGAATTTTTATCCTTGTTAACTGCGTTGCATACAGAACTAAGTGGGACATCAGCCAGATGTAAACGATCGAACCAATCAAGTCCCAAAAGATTTAAATCACTCTTGGTGACGTAACAAATTCCTGTGAATTTGATATTGCGGAAGGAAACAGAACATTCGAGTTCACCAATTAGTTTGAGCCGCCCACCACAGGCGCTGACAGCAGTCTGAGAAGTATTGGTGATTGGTGGTCTGCCAATATTATTCCAAAGTTTCTCTGATATAACAGTAATATCAGAGGCGGTATCTAGCTGCAGACGTGCATCATGACCATTCATCTGAAGATCAAGATATTTCCGCATACTGGTGTTGTGACTTGACAGGTTGCGACTAGACTCAATGACTTTTTGGGATTTAGGACCAACAGTTTGTCGAGCTTTCGCTGGATTTGATATCTGAGTTTGCGTGGCTGACAAAAACCATTTTTATGACCGATGATTTTGCACTTGCTGCAACGATGATTTTTGTATGGGCAAGACTTTACAAAGTGCCACGCGCCACAATGCCAGCATGGTGATGGTGGGGTCTTCTTTGCAGTATTTTGTGAAGTTGGACGAGTATGTGTAGATTTCCGCGGAACATTAGAAGTAGGTGGGTCAGGACTGGATGATGAGAGATTTTTGCTCTTTCGTAATGCACGAATATCAGAGCTTCTCGAAGGTGTTGATTCGACCAGGTGTGTGTCTTTCTGCAGATTAATCAGCCGTTGATATTCATCAGCTATGTCATGTAATGTTAACTTAGGATTTTGTTCTAGCTGATTGAGCAGTCGAGTTCGGATATCTGTGAAACGAGGAGATTGAAGACTGCATATGAGAATCAAGGCTTTGAATTGATCATCTGTTAAGGACCTGAGTCGAAATCTCTCACATTCTCGGTTGACTGTGCCAACGTGAGTAAGAAAATCATCATTTTCATTCATTGTCAGCTTGAGGCAACGATAACGTATGCTGAATAATGAGGAGTGGTCTCCAAAATGTTCACGCAGCAGCTTTATTGTATCATCGAAACACTTGTCACGTGGTTTTTGGGGTAAAATTAGGTTGCAGTACCGTTCATATTCTGCGGACCCAATTTACGTAACAACACTCGCACCTTCCAAGCATCGTCTTGTGAGGCGAGATCAACTGTGAATAAATCCTCATATCGTTGATACCATGTGTCAAAAGTGACATTAGCATCTGGATTATAATTGAACTGTGAAATACTATTCACAATTCCGTCGACAGATGGTAGCATGGTATGATTGGGATTGCTTGAAGGTGAAACTGAACCAGTCTGTTGGTTGATGAGCATTTCCATCAATTTCTTCTGTTGCTGAAGTAGTAATTCCAATTTAGAAGAATCCATCCCATCCCCGTCACCAAATTATTGTTATGGTCTGGTCGAGTAATTAATAGTCCGGACGCAAGGAGGCGGAAATCAGAAAACCACGAGGTTCACGATGATACTTGTATTTTTCAAAACAAGGAAAATGAATGTCACACAAGTGTATGAGCGAATGTTCAAAAATGAACGAATCAATAGACAGTCTTAACATGATTGGTTGTAATGTCATGTGACAACAAGGTCAGACATGTTTGTTTAGTTAGCGGACAGACAAAAACATATTGTCAATTATAATGGAATATCGATCCATGTATACATAGCAAAATATAACAGACTGTCAAAAACAAACACACATTATGTGGATACATATCAGATAATAATAATGATAATTAGGCTTTACTTTAGCCAATATGTGAACATAAAACACAGAAATTTTCAGCGTTCTAAATTATTTCGTCTTCGTATAGGATGGATATACACGTAAAGTAATAATCTCAATTATCTCATGTGACGTCGGCGGCACAAAGGTAGAATGCTCGCCTACCACCCATATGGTTTGGGGTTTGATTCCCGGTCGAAGGGAACATAAGGCTTCAAGCCTCTAGCTTAAACCCCTATGTTCCCCACTGGGAACGTGAAAAAATGTCATGTGGCATAGTGTTTTTACATATGGAGAGAGAACCAATTCCGTACACTTTTTTCTAATTTCCTTCAAGAATACACAGCGTTTTACTGAAAGCAAGTTAAATATGTGTGCGAGTTCATGTAGTGGTCACTTGGTATAATTGTATGATTGAAGCAATAAGAAATGCAGAAGAGTTTAAGCATTTTGATGACTGAAAACTCTGGTAGCCCAGTGATTTAAACAGTCCGCCTTGATCTTGGGGCCCGATCATTTTAAAAGTTGATTCTTAAAACCAATCAAGTATGCATTCACGTTGTTTTAGTTTTTAAAGTTGTTTATTAATTCAACATAGAGATCTAACGCAGAGAACTAAATCACATCGAACCGCTAGAATCGTGGTTAGCTACTCCGGTGAACTGGGAATACACATAGAGTCGAATTCTTCACTAGCAAATTATGCAGTTCATGTTAAGAATTTTATCACAGTCTGCTTTGGAAATTGAGACAAACAACTCTTTTGGCTTGTGAAGGAAACTATGATGAATTATCATCTCAGATTGCGTAATTTACAAGTGGAAAAATTCTGTACTATGTTTTATTTTTGAAAACATAACTAACCACCAATTTTTAAAGTTTTCTTTTTAATTTGAGATTCAGCATGGTACATTTGCTTTCCAGAAGTGTGCGTATTTTTATTTCTTCCTTTGTCGTAGAT